ATGCAGGGAAGTGTCTCTCTTTCCTCTGCTCCCTGGGTGTCCCGGCTCCCCTCTCTGGAGGACGTGGCTGTCACCAGTCTCTAGGGGCTCCTTCCAGAACGGCTCAGTGCATGTGCATACCCGTGCATGGACACGCTCACACACACACACTCGCTCGCACACACAGCTTGGCAAACGCACGGCACACGCACCCGCGCGCAGACAGGCTGCCCTTCCCCCACAGCCCCTCACGGGCACCCCCTGTATGCGCACACGAGTGGTGGCACGCAACACGCCTTGTTCCGAACTCTGTTTTCTGTCACTTCGCGTGCACTTGGGGACTGTTGCATGTCAGGACGTGGAGAGCCGCCCGTCCGATGTCGTGGCGGCTACATTGCCTGCCGGGGCGGCAGGTTCCCTGCGTCACTTGTCCCCCGTCTCCTGTTGGTGCACATTTCGGCCGCCTCTGGTCTCATGACTGCAGGAGTGACTTTGTACACGCACTTTCTACACGGATCTCTCTGTGTTGATGCGTGTCAGGTGTGAAATTGCTAAGTCACGCACCAGCGATGCTGGTAGATGTCGCCAGATTCCCTTCCAGGGAGGGGGTGCCACTCTGAGCCCACGTCAGCAGGGTGACGTGCCCTCACACCCACCTTTGGTGGCAAGCCTTTTGAAACTTCAAATGTAGACGCTTCCCAGTGTTGTTTTTAATTTGCATTTTCTGGAATCTTCAGGGTATTACGGACTCAGAACCTTTGATTCTTCCTTTTTTTCCTTTTTCTTCCTTTCCCTGCTTATGGACACTGTGCGAGGGAATTTTCTAGGTCCTGGAGCAGTGTGGATGAACCGCACGTGGTTCCTGTTCTCCAAGAACTCCTAGTGTAGACACAAAAGCAAGGTCAGGACATGAGATGCCAAATTATGCATGGTATTGCCCTCCCGGCCAGGAACCAAGACTTGCATCTGGGTCACTGTTGAGGCTTGGGGGTGGGACTTTCTCCAGCTGCGGACTCCGCTACCTGCTGACTTTTGAGAAGGCAAGTCATAGCACTGGGAGAGGTGGGCGGGACACAAGGACTTGTGGGTGGGTGACAGTGTCAGCTGGCTGAGCAAGGAAGGGTGGTGGGGGTGGGGCGGGGGATGGCCAGGAGTTATTGGAGGTCTTTATGATGGCAAAGGACAGGTTGTGGCAGAGACAGTTAATGGTGATCCCCGGCCTGTCCTGGCCTGCCCATGTACCCTCTATTTATAGCTGGACACATCCCCCACCCTCCCTTGCAGCTTGGTTGTGACTCAGTCATAGCCAAGGAGATGTATGTTAGAAGGGGCAAGGGCAGTTTTGGGGAAGGGTCCTTAATAGGCAGAGATGTGCCCTCTTTTGCTCCTTCCTCCACCTTCCAGCTGCAGGAACATAGGTGTGATGGGTGGATGTGAGCAGCTTTATTGGCCTGTGAGGAGGCAGGAGAAAGCTATTGAGGATGCCCCAGTGGCAAGACAGATTTAGCTCAGGACCCTGACATCACAAAGCCACCCGCCCTGGACCGCCTGCCTCTGGACTTCTTTGAGGTGAGGGAAACAAAACCTTCTCTTATTTTAGGTCGGTGTTATCTTCTATTCTATTTGGACACACACAGTTGGACTTGATCCTAACTGGGCCACTGTGGCAGAGTGGAGGGGGTGGCGGCAGCAAGTGGGGTGTGCTCAGGTGGCAGTTTGAGGGGTCTGGGTTAACAGGGGCCGGAATGATGACAAGGTCCGAGTCTGGGCCTGAGCAGGGCACGGGTGTGGGGTGGATCAGAGGACGCTGGGGAGATGGCACGGGAATCTGGAGGCTACAACATGGATTCTGACTCCCCCTGGACCTGAAGTGGAGCCGGAGGCTGGGAACCAAAGCCAGAGCTCCAGTGGGGGCCAGTGGGGGTCAGCGGGGCGGAGGTGCGTTTGGTAGATGCCAGGGCTGAGGAGGGCACAGCCCGGCTTGGCCCCTAGAAAAGGCAGCCCTGTGATGGGCAAGGGGAAAAGTCACAGTCAGGAAGGGACACCAGGGTCAGAAAACCCCAGTGTGTGCTTGTCCCATGGCCCCATGAACATGGGGTCCTTGGCTAGGGGCCTGGCTCAGTGGCGGCTGAGCTGTGGGGCTGTGTCCGTGAAAGCTGAGGGTGCCGGGCGGTTTGTCCACAGTGGGACTCCGGGAGGACATAGAGGGAGGGACGGGGGGGGGGTGCGAAGGAGGCGGGAGAAGCAGTTGTAGGAACAAGGGTTTGGGTGCTGGGAGGACGGGCCCTGCCAGAGGAGGCTGGGTCCAAGCCCTGCCCTCCTGAGACCACCGAGGTAAGGCCCCTGCCGTCAGGGGAGCTTCTGGATTATGGATCAGGCTTCCTCTGAGAGAATCTGAAGTCCTCTGGGACAGACCCAGGTTCTAACCCCGGCTCTGCCACATGCTGGTGGGAGGACGGCTGTGCCTCAGTTTCCCTGCCTGTGAGACACGAAGGAAGGAGCAGCTCAGCCGTATAGACACTGCGGCGTGAGGAGCTTGGCCGGTCAATGAACAGCAGGAAAACCCGAGCTGGACAGATGGGGACAGCAAAGGGGACAGGCTGAGAGGCGCAGGCAGGGCCAGCTCCTGCAGGACTTTTGGGCCAAGATTGAGAGTTTGGATTTATCACAAATGCCCTGGGAACGACTGGAAGGGGCAGTGCAATGACTTGATCTGGGTTTGGGAAAGATAGCTCTGGCTGCTGAGTGGAGAACAGGCTGGAGGGTCAGGAGCTGAAACAGGGAGATCAGGCTGGCAGCCACTGCTGACAAGATCTGAGCAGGGCAGGGGTGGAAGAAAGTAGGTGCGCGTCTCTGCACACACCTGCCTGGCACCCAAGGCCCCGAGCCTCTGCCTGCATCCCGCGTCACCTTCCTCAGCTGGTTTTATATCCAGCTCACGCACCCGGGGTGAAGCCCGCCTGCCAACTGCTGAACGAGAGCCCCCAACACCACAGAGGTTTATTTTTTGCTCTGTTGCAGCCCAGTGTGGACTGAGAGTGGCTTCACCCGACTGTGGCAGGGGAGGGAAGACAGAGGAAGGGGGGGAGGAAGAGGGGAGAGGGACGGGGAGTGGGAAAGAGGGAGGGAGAGAAAAGAGGAGGAAAGGTGAGTTTTTCTAGGTTTGGAAGCAGAATAAATCACTTGCTCCCACATCCCTTTGGCCAGACGCTGTCCCGGGCCCCACCTGACTGCGAGGGTGCCTGGGAAGTGGAGTCCAGCGGATGCCAGGAGGAAAGGGGGCTCGGGGGTGAGGGGACACATCCCCACATTCTCTCTCACTCCACGGTGTGCCCCTCCTACGTGCTGCCGCAGCCGTGCCATGCTCCGCAGAGGATGCCAAGCCCGTGCACGTGTTCACGCCCTCCCTGCTCCGCACAGCCCTCCTCCCTGCCTTTCTGCCTGCGGTGCCCTGGCCTGGGCCCTTCGGCATGTGCGAGACCCCCCTGCCCCCCGCGTGGCTGATGCCATCCCGTGGACAAAACCGTGCTGATCACGGCTGCTCAGCACAAGCTGGGTCCGTGACTTCTGGCTGTGCCTGGGGATGCTTTTTTTTCCCTTATATGTATGTGCTTTAACTGAATTCATTTATTTGGGGGTAGGAAATAGCTTCATTCAGTATGAAAGGGTCTGTAGAGAAAAGCATCCCTCCTGCCCTTTCTTCTCCGGGCCCACCTCCCTGGGAGAACAGCGTTCCCGGTCTCTTGAGAAGCTTCTGAAAATCCTCTCTGCTTAATAGACCCTGGGTGTGAGTCTCACCGTTGTGGCTGCTGTGTTTGTTACCCTCTCCCGCAGCCGGCAGACCCCACTCTAGGGGAGGAGGGCAGGGGCATGCGGAGGAACCGGCCTGTATTGCGAGCCTACTGTGTGTGGTCACATTAGGTGCTTAACGAACACCTCAGTGTGCAATCTTCTCGACACAATCCCAGGAAGGAGCTGGCATCTCCTCGTTTTGCAGGTGTGCACGTCGAAGCACAGTGAGGCCAAGGTCAAGGTCACCTAGCTGGCGGCAGCCTCCACCTCAGGTCCCGCATCTCGTGGGCAGCTGTGCCCAGCGCTGCCCCTTCCCCACTCGGCTCTGGGCTTTGCACAAGGGAGTTGGGCTTGATTCTCTTTTTAGGATCTTCAGTTCTACTTTCTCACATCCGCAGAGCTGCCCTCCCAATTCCCCTCCTGCCGTCCCCTCTCCTCTTCTTGGAAGAGGCAGCAGCTTACAACAAAACCTCTGGGAAGCAGTGCTATTAAGATCAGGAGGGGAGAACGCAGCACTGCTTCTCCTGGGCTCTGGGGACGGAACCTCACAGGGTCCGTGGGCCTGTGACACCGCACATAAATAGATGTGCATTTTTCTAAAGAATAATCCGTAACTTGTCGTCATTTAAGAAAAAAGAGCCCTTAGCCGAACCTCCCACCACTCCCCCCAAAAAGAGGGAGAAGGATTAGGAATCATGGCTTGGGAGAAAATGGAAAGTTCTAGAATATCCAACAAGTGGCTGTTAAATGGTTCGGAAAACCCAGATAGTCACTTCCGAATGCTAAACTGAGTAAGGGGCTTCCTGGAAGGCTGGGTGAAAAGGGAATCTCTGAGAGATGGTGTGCTGCAGTCTGGGACAGGCCTGGGTGTTAGTGGGGGTGTGTGTGTGACCGGATGAAGGTGTCGGCGCTGTGGGGGGACCTGCGCGAGGTGGGGTGTGGGTGGTGTAGGAGGGGAAGAAGGGCCTACGCCCCTTGGACTCTGTGTGCAGCTAGGCCCCTGTTTGAGAGTGACTCTGTGTGTGTGTGCTGCCGCCCCCAGCGTAGGAGGCAGATCTTTATCTGGCCTCTGGGTGCTTCAGGAGTTTCAGGCTTTCTCACAGCCTGGTCTCACTCCGCCTCCCCAGCCCAGGCCTTGCCCTCCATCCTCTGCACAGGAAGTGGGCCGGCTCCGGGGTTTAGTCTTTGCCGGCCCCAGCCGCTACCTGGGCCATAGCGGAGCAGGCCCTGGGGAGATGGCTGTGGTCCCAGCAGCGGGCAGGACTGGAGAGAGCACGCTGCCGCAGCCCCATGTCTCAGCCAGGTGACTGCCCTGACCTGCCCCCCCCACCCTGCCAGGGACCCCTGCCTCCCTCCTGGCCCTTGCGGACCGGCCGGGAGACTGGGAGTGATGGTCACGGGAAGACTCTGGGCTCTGACTCAGTTCCCCCAGCAGTTTCTGCCTGAGCTTCCATCCCCCCAGGATCATCCCCCTGGGGACGGGGTGGGCCCAGGTCTCTTGGGTCTTGGGGGAGGAAACACTGGTCCTCAGTCCCAGGCCACCGCTCCTTCCCAGCCGGCCCCGGGGGAGGCTGGGGCTGCTCTGGGATGAGGGGCTTCCCTGGGGCCTGTGTACCGGGCCCCCAACCCAGAGGAGTGGAGGAGCGGAGGAGTGGGACAAGGGCTGGGGGCCCAGAGAGGGTGCAGGAAATGGGCGAGGGAGTCGGGAGTCCCCCGATGGCCTCTGAGGAGCAGGGCCCACGCTGGCGCCAGGCGGGGAGGGCGCTGTGTGCAGACCGCTCCTTAAGAGGCTTGTGGGGCAAGGGAGAGGCCCCCTCTGAGAACTGGCTACGCGGTGAGCTGTGCTGGGAGGTCTCTGGGAGCTCTGGACTGGCCGCCAGAGCCTGGGGTTCCAGTCTGGGTTTGTCCCTTCCTTGGCTGTGTGACTGACAGGTCAGCAGCGTCTCCTGGCGTTGGGGATGGGAGGGCTGCCTGGAGCTCACACCCTCTCCTCTCCTGGGGCCAAGGCCTCCCACTCTTCAGTGTGTTTGTAGCACCCTGGGGGTGGTGTGCGGGGCTGAGCTATCCCCAAGGGTCCCCTTCCTTCCCCCGCAGCCAGGGTCCCACGCCCAGCTGGGGAGGTGCTCTTGGCCTGAAGCAGCAAGAGCTGAGCCTGTGTATGTGTTGGGGGCGGGGCTGGGGGTGGCCAGAGAGGGTGAGGGGAGATGGGGGAGGGGCCCTTCGAGTTCAGAGGTCAGGTGGGATGCACCATGGGCCCCTGCTTTACTGTCCTGCGGCGGCCACCACACTCCCCACGTACCAGTGGGGCCTGCAGACTGCACCGAGCTGGGCTCGAATCCCAGCTCGGCCCCTGTCTAGCCTGGGCCAGAGGCCGGCCGGTGCCTCGGTCTCCTCATCTGACAAAAGGAGCGATAATAGAACCCACTCAGGGGGTTGCTGTGAGGACTGAGCGCTGGAACAGCCCCGAAGCGCTCAGGCAGCGCCGGGCGCAGGGAGAGCTGTCTTCGTCAGCCGCCGCCAGCCTGGCGTCAGATGACCTGAGCTGGAGCAGCCCCGAGCTTCGCTTTTGGCCTCGCTCAAGCGGGATAAGGAGACCCACCGCACGGGGTTGTGGTGGGGACGCGATGGCTTTACAGCCATGAGGGGCTGGGCGGGGTGAGGACCTAGGAGGGCGGGTGCTCAGGCACAGAGGTCCTGGGCTGCACTCGCTCTCACCTGAGGCTGGGCCCGTCCCTTGCTGTGTGACCCTGAGCAGGTTCCTTAACCTCCCTGAGACTCAGTTTCTCCTTGCAGAATGAGGGTGCAGCCTCGCTGGCTGCTGGGAGCCCCAGCTCTGGCCCTCAGGCGCCCTCCGTACTGCCCTCCTGCTGGCCTTGCCGTCTGTACGCCCCTGCACCCCTTTGGCTGCGGGAGGCAGGAGTGCACTCCAGATGTGCCGTCTCCTGCCCGGCTCACCTCTTTGCTGGGGCCTGTGGTTTGGCCCTAACCTTCCTTTGACCTTGCACCCTCTGCCCCCTACCCTCTTCCTGTTGCCCTGGGGCTCTGCCAGGTCCTGTCCTGGGCATGGGGTCATCCTCATGGCTGGGCCCAACCTGGGGCGACACCCTAACAAAGGACTGGCCCCAGGGCAAGGCTTATGCAACAGGGCATGTAAGAGGCGTAGGAGGGCCTTGGGGAGCCCCCTTGCTGTGCTCTGTATTCTTTGGGGTCCCAACCCTGTGCCCTGTGCTATTGGAGGATCCAAAGAAAAGCAACCAGTCCCCAGCCTGGGAGCTCGCCCTCCTATGGGGATGGCAGGCCAGGCAGGGCGAGCCCACGGGTGCTCTCTGGGCTCCGCCCCTACCCAGGACGAGCACCGGCCAGCCTCACCCCTGGGCCCGGTGTCTGGGCGGGGTGGAGCCATGTGAGAACGGGCCTTGGGCTGGAATCCCAGCTCTGCCGCCTCCTACCGTGTGTGTGACCCTGGGCGAGTTAGTGACTTGGAGCCTTAGTTCCCTCGTCTGTGCATGATAAAGGCACCCACCCCAGCTGCTGGGCAGATTAGACGAGCTAGTGTGTGCAGAGCACCTGGCACGGGCCTGGCACGGTGAGTACTGTTACCTGGCCATCGGTCCCTGTTTACTGTCGCGTGAACTGCCATGGAAAGGTGTGTCCGAGGAGGCACAGGGGAGAGGGCCCTGCCTGGGCCCTGGGCAGTCTACCCTGGCGCACACTCCAGGTCTGCCTCCTACTAGCCGTGTGATCTTGGGCAATGTGCTTCGACTCTTTGTGCCTCAGTTTCCTCATCTGAAAATGGGGCTAATAAGCGTATCTCTACCAGATGCTCTCACTGCTGCACTTAGAGAGTTTACACAGAGCCTGGCTTACAGTAACCTGTCCCTGGCTGGTTTGGGATGTGGTTAGGGGCAGCAGGGTAGAGTGGAGGTGAGTTCTAAGCCCAGCTCTGTGCTACGTGACCTTGAGCAAGTCTTTCCTGCTTTGGGGTTTCAATGTCCCCGACCGTAGAACAAGGGGTGGGCTTGCTCAGGGGGCCCTTTCAGCTCTGACAGCACGCGGGTCCTCAACTCTCGTTCTCTCGGCCATCAGTACCTTCCTGGGACACGACATCTGTCTTGGGAGATGGCACCCAGGGTGCTGGGTTCCTGCCCCATGCTGGCTCTGACGTCAACTGGAGAAGTCCCAGTGCCGCCCAAACAGCCCTGCTTTTTTTGCAGTACTGGAGGCCTCTGACCACATCTGTTCATTTAACTGCATTTATCGAGCACCCACTGTGTGCCAGGCCCTGTGCGCAGTAGTCTATGGAGTGAGCACACTGCTGGCCAGTCCTGCTGCTGTCCACAGGGAGGAACGAGGGGCTCAGAGGAGGAGGCCCTCACCCTCCACTGGAGAAATCGGGGGGCTTCATGGGCCTGGAAGGATGGCGGGATGTGTAGGGGGTAAGGAGGGAGATGGACTTGGGAGGGCCGTTGGGAGGACAACCTTGGCTTCCTGGCTGCCAGAGCGCTGGCGTTTGTAGGCAGGTGGATGCCGCTGTGAAAGCGAAGGCTGGAAGGACTGGCTGTCCGGGTCTGGGTCCCAGAGAAGTCTTGAAAGCCAGAATTTAGGCTCTAGTTGTAGACGGGCCGCCGTAGGTTTCTGGGCAGGGAGGGAGGCTTTGGGAAATGCAGCCAAGTGCCTGCAGAAGAGGCCATGCCGTCGCCCAGGCTGGAATGGCACTGCACTGGCTGGGAGAGTGGAGAGGAAGAGACGGCCAGTTGTCATTGGGCTGTCCTGTCTATAGGGCATCCTGGCTGGCTGGGTGTGGGGGCAAAGGCGACAGAGCACAGACACCAGGACAACAACGGTGCAATTGTCCCAGACCCAAGAGTCAGGCGATAGGAGAGTAGGGGTGACCTGGGCTTTCGCTGGGGGTCTCACAGGCCACTGGGAGGGAGGTGTAGGCTTGGGGAAGTGCTGAGTTGGAGAAAGGCCCTTGGAGCCAGGGAGAGACTGGGAGGGAGAAGGGAAGGGGGAGAGAGCCCCAGTAGGGGAGCCACGGGGAGGGGAAGGGGGCAACACCCGGGGGCCTTGGCCACACTTGGGATCAAAGAGCACAGGGCGGGGGGGACACGCCACCCCCTCAGCGCCTCTGGACTCACCTGCTTCTCCCTCTGCCCCCCGACTAGGGCCACCGTCGCCTCTCTCTGGAAGCCCCTCCTCATCTCCCTGCCTCCCTAGCCCACTCTCCCGGCAGCAGTCCCAGGTCCCATCACCTTCCCAAAGTGACCATCTGCTCACTTTCCCCCTCCCCTCCCCGACCCCGCTCAGCTCCTGCAGGGGTGGGGCAGCTGCGCTTCACTGTCCTTTCCCCTGGACAGGTCACAGCTGGCCGCGCCTCCCCTTTGGGCTGCGCGGAGTTTCCCTGGTGTGGCTGGAAGCCCTCTGAGAAGAGTCTCTGGCAGAGACATCTTTAGTCACTGGGCCTCCCTCGAAGCCCCTTGGTGGGACAATAGTGGCTTCGCTGAAGTGGGAAGGTGGCTGGCCAGGCGCCAGGGGCTTTGGCAGCAGACATTTCCGGGTGCGCATCTTGGAAAACAGAGACAGGGAGGATTGTCTGGGCTGACACCTATAAAAGCACCGCCCAGGGCCCGCGTTTAGCAGATACTCAGGGAAACCTCGGCTCCTTCTGCGAGGCTGGGTTAGGGATGTCGAGTTTCTTTCTCCCCTGGGCAGTAAGCTGGGTGGGCTGCCCCTGCGCTCCTCCGGGGAGCTTGCAGGCAGGTGGCGTTGCGGGGGAGGACGGACACAGTCCCCCATAAAGGCACTGCAGCCCTCTGCCCCTCACTTTCCTCATCGGCAAAGGAAACAGACAACAGAAGTGCCACCTCATAAGGTATTGTGAGGATTAAATATATCAACACACGTAAAATGTTTAAAAACCGTGTCCGCCAAGTGTCAGGTATTACTGTCATGAGATTACGATCATGATTTCCCTTTTTGGAGCCAAATACCACGTTTTCTGTGTTTGCCTAATGCTCCTCCTGCTTCCTCAGGGCTAGAGTTTAGGACCCGCGTCACAAACAGTCCATCTTGAACACAGGGGTGCCGAGAGGTGCCTGAGAGCATCTGACCCCGGAGTGACACTGGGGTGCGATGTCCCCCTCGTGCTGTGGCAGGGACTGTCCTCCTGTCCCCGCCTGCTCCCCCTCCCACCAGCCGCGTCCTTCCAGGCAGGGGACTGCTGGGTTCCCTCCTGCCCCCAGAGCCGCCAGAGCAGGGGTCAGCCTTGTCCTCGGCGCTCTTCAGTGTTGAAGTCAGAGCTCCTGCCTGCTGGCAGCTTCTCTTTGCAAGTTCACGTCTTGCTCCCTCGAGGGAGCGTGACGGGCAGAGGCGGGGATAGCCTGGGAGCCCTCGGAACCCCTCTGCCGGCTGCCTCCAGCTCTGTGCATATTCGTTTGATCATCCGTTCATTACGTATATATATATATTTTTTTTTTGGCGGTTGCTTACTATGTGCCAGGCACTGTTCCAGGAACTGGGGACCTGGTAATGGACAAAGCACAAAACTCCATCCTCGCTGTGCTATGTGTCAGTGTGTGTGTGTGTGTGTGTGTGTGTGTGTGTGTGTGTGTGTGGAGAGAGAGAACAAATGAATAAATAAGCAAATAGCGCCGCGATGAACAATAAAGTACTGTTTAGAGTGGTGAGTAACAAAGGGTGCTTTTTTTATACAGTCTGGTCTGGGAAGACCTCTCTACGGAAGTGACATTTGAGCAGAAACTTGAAGGAAGGGAGTGCGGGGCTGTGGGGTGGTGTGGGGGCAGACCACGCACCCGCGGGGGGCAGGGCCCAGCCTGCCTCTGGGGCAGCAGGGCCCTGGGGTGAGTATTCACCTGCTCTCTCCCCTCCTGCTCCCCCAGGGCTCCCTTTCCCTGCTCCACCCTGTGGATGTGATGGCGGCCCCTGCCCTGTCCTGGCGTCTGTCCCTCCTCATCCTCCTGCCCCTGGCTGCCTGTCGGGCATCTGCAGCAGTGAACGGTGAGGACCCTGGCGTCTGGACAGCTGTGCTTTTCCTGGGGGAGGAGGCCAAGGCCCCTGCTTTTGGGCAGCAGGTCCCTGAGCAGGGCAGGAGGCAGGAGAGGAGGGGAGGGTAATGGGGACCAGAGCTCCGGCGTCCACCTCCTGCCTAGCCCCTTGTCCTACCCACCCCCTCCCTGCCCGCATGCACGCACACGCTGCTTTCTCGTCCCTGCCCTGCCCTGGCCTGCCTGCGTGAACTCGCAGGCTCTGGGGCTCGGTGTCCTCCTCTCTGATATGGGCCCACTAACCCCTTCTCTGCCCACCAGAGTTGCCTACCTCCTCCTCTGGCAGGCATGGGGTGCCCCAAGCAGGGGTGGTGGGCATGCTGCAGCGGGCCAGGGGGACCCTGCAGCCGGCCACTCACGCCTCACCTGGCCCGGCAGACACTTCCCAGCTCACGTGCTTCTACAACTCGAAAGCCAACATCTCCTGTGTCTGGAGCCGGGACGGGGGTCTGCGGGGTGCCTCCTGCCACATCCATGCCCAGTCGAACAAACGGTGAGTGAAGAAGCTTAGGAAGGTCGGATCGCATAACCATGACTCTTAGACTCTCGGAATCCTAAATACTAGACTCCAGGAATCTGCATTTACAGAACCTTGGACTCATGGGACCCACAGCCTCTTAGAACCGCAGGAGTTTGGGAGCACGCCTGGAAGCGAGGCATTGTTTATACAAGTGTGGGAGTCAGATATTTAGATTCTTGAACCCGGGGTGCGGGGTCCAGGCTGCAGTGCAGGGGCTGGGGACAAGCTGGACAAGGTGGTTTGGGGTCACTGGGCTCTGGGGCTGCTATGCCAAGGCTGGACTCTACTCTAGAGGCAAGGGGGGAAGAGAGGGGCTCCCCAAGCTTTTTAAGTGAGCAGGGATTTTGAGAGACCCACAGGCAGCTGTGGGGACAGGGGCCTGGGAGGTGGATGGGGCCCCTGGGAGCTGAGGCATGGCTGTGATCCAAACGTCCAGGTGGCAGGTGAGGAGGGTCTGTGCCCAGGTAGTTTGGTGGGGGGCAGGCAGAGAGGTGGCTGGGGCTGAGGTGGGGTCCCTGGCGTGTGGGGCATCGGGAGGGGAGGAGGAGGGGCAGAGGCAGGTGTGGGCCCCGGCTTCTCGTGGGTGCTGATTCCGCAGGGCTTCAAAGGCCAAATTAAGGATCTGTCTTTGCTCGAACCCATGGAGCTGTGGAGGGCTCTAGGGCAGGGAGGGCCACGTGTCTTGAACTAGATCATTCTGGCTGCCACGAGGCCAGGCTGGGATGAGAAGGGCAGGCAATGAGGGGAGGAACACTGCAGAGCAGGGGGGCCTGGCATGGAGTCCCCCCCACCGCTCCCCGCCTGGCCTTGCTGCCTGGGGCCATCCCGGGAGCAGAGACTGAGAAGGGCCCCTGGGGACGGGTCCCTTGGGCCAGCTCTCTGGGTCCATCTTTTTCTTCTAAGGAGTTTCTTTTGTTCCAGGTCGTGGAACAAAACCTGTGAGCTGGTCCCTGTGGGGCAGACATCCTGGGCCTGTAACCTGATCCTCGGAGCCCCAGATGTGAGTAGCCACCCAGGGAGGGAGCATGGGGTGTCCTTCCAGCAGCAGCCACCGTCTCTGGGTGGGCTGGGTGCCAGGGAGGAGCTGGGGCCCGGCCACCCGCTGGCAGCTGCCTGGGGCTGAGGCCGCACCCGAGGGCGCCGACCCGGGGCCTGACCCTGGGCGAGGGATGCTGGTGTGAGGCACCCGCCATCCTGCCTCTGCCCCTGCTGTCTGCCCCACGCTTTGGGGGTCCTGGGACACCCTGTATCCCTTATCAGGTCGGGGGAGCACCCTGGTAGAAATGACAATGAACACACCTGACTTTTCCTGGGGTCTTGGCAGGCAGGGCAGTGCGGGGTTAACAGTGGGGATCACAGAGCAGGATGTTCCAGCCCTGGCTCTGCCTCGCGCCAGATGGGTGACATTGGGCACCCTCTGTGCCCATCTCCCCTGCTGTAAGATGGGAGTAAGAATGGTGCCTACCTTGTTGGCTTATTCTGAGGGCTAAAGGACTTAGAATGCCATCCAGAACAGAGCCTGTACTTGGCACTGTCGTCAGTGGGTCCCTACACCCCGTGGGTGGGCACCAGCACCATCCCCTTCTTACTTGTGAAGAAACTGAGGCCCAGAGAGGTGTGGCCCCTGCCGAGCTGTGCAGCCAGGGAGTAGCAGAGCTGGGTGCCAGCCTGGGCATTTTACCATTGCACTAGGCTGCCTCTTGCAGGGCACATGGCCGTGTCCATATGGGTGTGCCTCAAATCCTGGGCAGCAGCGGGCACCAGGGACACCCAGACCACGTTGTCCAGCCGTCATCAGGTTACACGTATTCTCAAAGGGCAGGAGAATGGGAAGAGGGGGCCACACTGTGGAGCTGTGAAAGCGCAGCCTCTGGAAACGGATGCCGTGCCCGTCCAGGGAGCTCTGCAGGTGGCCTGGCTTCCCAGCCTGGCTCCATTTCCAGGCTGCGTGACCTCAGGCAAGTCCCTAAGCCTCTCTGGGCTTCAGTTTCCTCAGCCAGAGGATGGGAGTAGTAATAGTGCCCGTGTCTGAGGGTGCTGAGAGAATTGAATGAGCTAAGGTGTGTAAAGGGCTCAGCCTGGCACAGGGCGAGTGCTCGTAAGAATGCACGATTGGCAACGTCTTTACAACAACAATAATAGTAATAATAAGAATGATAATATTATTGTTATCTGGAAAACGTGGCCACGACAGCAGCTGCAAGAAGGCTAGGGCAGGGTCCTTGGGGTGGAGAGGGAGGAATTGTTTCCTGGCTGGCCAGTGTGGGAGACTCCGATGATCGGGTTTACTCATAGCAGGTCTTGTGCAGGTCAGAGGGACTGTGCCCAGGTGCCGGACCTGAAACCACCACCCAGACCCCCAGTCCTACCCACGGACCCTCCGGCACAGAGGGAGGCTGCCTGGGGCTGCAGCCCTGGGTCAGGCAGGACAGGCCAGGACTCAGAGGTGCAGTCACTCTGGAGGGCTGTGGACGCAGGGCCTGGGCTCGAACCTGGGCTGCCCTGCTGACCAGCGCGTGACGTCTGGCAAGTCCCTCGACCAGCGCGAGGCTCAGGCTTCTCACCTCACCGTGGGGTGGACTGCTGCGTGCATCAGTGAGATTAGTGGCACCTGAGCAAGGACTGCCCACAGGATGCACTCAATACCTGGGCATTTCCTTCCAGAAAAGTCAGGGTGTGGGGGAGGGGAGAGATGGGGAGGGGAGACTTTCATACTTGAAGCTATGAAGCAGGTATAGTTCCAGATCTGCACCTTTCTGGGGGCCCACCTGCTTGCATGCCTCTTGTGACAGGGAACTTCCTTCCTCCCAAGGCAGCTCACTTCACTTTAGATCAGGGGTTGGTAAACTACTATGGCCTGTGGGCCAAATCCAGCCCACTGCCTGCGTTCATAAATAAAGTTTTATTGGAACACGGCCATGCCATTTGTTTGCCTGTTGTCTGTGGCTGCTTCACACCACGATGGCAGAGTTGAGCGGTTGTGACAGAGAACATGTGGCTGGCAAAAACAGTCACACCTGGCCCTTTACAGAGAACATGTGCTACCTCCTGCTTTGGATGGATGGTGGGGGTATGGAGGGCTCCCGTCCTCCCCTGTCCTCCCTAGTGGCTGTCCCCAGCTGCTGGCCGCTTCATCCCTGCCCTCCTGCCCCTGCAGTCTCAGACGCTGACCGCAGCTGACACTGTCAACATGAATGTGATGTGCCAGGAAGGGAAGCGGTGGAGCGTGGTGATGAGCCAGGCCTTCAAGCCCTTTGAGAACCGTGAGTGGGGAAGCCAGCGTGGGGCTGGGGCAGGTCTGGGCCCCTCTTTGCCTGCCTTTCCCTCTGGGATCCTCTCTGCTCTGGTCTCTCTCCCCACCAACCTCCACACTCACATCTGACCACCTCGCTGCTCGCTGCCCTGGGCATGAAGTCCTGGCTCCTTCTCCTGGCATTCAAGGCCACTCAGGATCCAGCCCTGCCCCTCCTCCCTGGCACTCCTCCTCTCCGGCCTATATTTCTGCTGCAAAGCCCAGCTGTCCAGACTCGCCTTGCCTGTCCGTGCCTCTGAGCCCTCGCGCATACTGGTCCTGCTGCCTGAAAGGCTCTTCCCACCTTGAAAGTTCCCACTTATCCTTTGAGGCTCAGTGAAGAGTCACCTCTTCCAAGAGGCCTTCCTAGACTCCCCAGCGCTTTGTACCTCCTCTTTCAGGGAATTTATGTCCTGGGTTGTCACTTCCTGATTGTATCTCCTTTGCTGGGCTGTGAGCTCTTTGAGGGCAGAATGTCTACCACCCCTGTGTCTCCTTTCTGAGCACCCAGTGCTAGGTCTGATCAGGACAATGCTCTGGGAAGGTTTGTTGAATGACTGAGTGCCTGCCCCCCATGCTCGACCTTGGGGCCCATCTCCAGGGAAGAGGTGGGATAGAAAGTGAGATCCAGGGAGGATTCAAAGTGCAGCCGCCTTACCTGGATGTGATCTGACTAGTGGACCATTTAACATATCTGAGCCTCAGTTTCCTCATTTGCAAAATGGGGATAATCAGAGTCACCTACTGCACAGGCTTGTAAGACGTCTTTGAGCCAAGGCACAGAAACTGCTTAGCGTGTCGTCAGGACTCGATAAACACTCACTTACTATTTGTGCAGTTCTACAGGGCCTCAGAATTACAGGAACTGAGATCAATTTACCTTCAGAACCATAAAGTGTTACAATCATCACATTTAGAATGAGCGAGACGATCCACATGGAACTCTTAGGTCAGTGCTAAGCGCAGAGAAAGGCTGCCCTGACTCATTCCTGCAGCGGATACTAGGTCAAGTACCAGGCAATGTTCCGGGCACCAAGGACAGGGCAGACAGCAAAGTCCCTGCCCTCAACGAGCTCACAGTTGGCGGGGAAGACAGAAAATGAATGAAGACCCCAAACCATGTATTTAACATGTCAGGTGGTGATAAGTGCTGGGAAGAAAAATAAATCGGGGAGGGGGCTGGAGAGTGGTGGGTGGGCAGGGCAGGCTTCTCTGCACAGGTGAGGCGAGAGCGGAGGCCTGGAGGAAGGGAGGGCGCAGCCTGAGTCTGGGGGTGCGGCGGACAGAGCACACGGGAGGAGGAAGGGCACGGGGAGCATCGCCAGCCAGTGCCCGGCTCCTTCCTTCCTCCATCCTGTCTCCAGTTCGCCTGATGGCCCCGGTCTCCCTTCAAGTCAGCCACGTAGGGACCCACGGATGCAACGTCACCTGGGCCCTCTCCCACTCCTCCCACTACATTGAAAGTTACTTGGAGTTTGAGGGCCGGACACGGTCCCCAGGCCAGAGCTGGGAGGTGAGTACGTGGCCCAGTCCCACCTGCCCCGACTCCTCCTTCCTGTGCCCGTCCCTCCCGTCCTGTTCGTGCCCATCTCAGCGAGGCCACCTCAGCCCCAGGCAGACAGTGGGCACTGACGCCCCCACGCTCCTTCCGTACTGCACACTCCCTCCACGTGCCCCCTCTAACCCTGGGGATCCAGCTGGCGGCAGACCCCAGGCTGACACCAGGGCAAAGCGCAGGCAGCCGCCCACCCCACGGGATCGCAGAGGCCGGGGAGCCACCCTCTGCACTGCAGGTCCAGCTGCTCCATGTCTGTGGCATCCACCGCTTGTTCATTCACGTACTCCTTCCTTTATTCGCTTCATGGTTCAGTCCACACGTGTTTACTGAGCACCTGCTCTGTGACGGGTGAGGGGAGAGTGGAGGGCGAGGCTGGGAAGCCGCCTGCTCGCAGGGAGCTCAGCTGGGGTCAGGCAGTTTGCAGACACATCAGCAGGAGACCACAGGGTGTTGATAAGTCCCGTGGAGAATCTGACATGAGATAAGGAATTCGAGAGTGGCCGGGGCAGGCTCCTTCAGCCTCAGGTGTCCAGGGAAGGCTTCTCTGAGATCTGGGCGTCCAGAAGGAGCTGACCCTGCAAAGATCTGGGGAGGGTTTTCCAGACAGAGGGACCGGCCGCTGCAAAGGCTGCAGGCTTGAGAGGTGGAGGCAGCTCAGACCTGGGGGCTGGAGGGGAGGACAGAAGGGGAGGAGTCCAGAACGGTTCTGGAGGCGGAACCAGCTGATTGGAAGACAGCTTGGGATGTGGGGATGAGTGAGGGGGAGGGGTTTAGGACAGCCCTGCGGTTTGGGGCCCCAGCAACTGGGGAGTCAGGGAGCCTTTGGGTGGGAGGGGAGGACGGTTTGCAGCTGGTGCAGATCAATGGGAGTGCTGCTTTGCTCAGCCTCCCAGCCCAGCCATGGGAGGTGAGGTGGGCAGTGGGGACCTTTCTGCCCTGACAGCCCCTCGTCCCCTCCCCCACCCCGTCTCTGCCCCAGACGGCCCGTCTGCTGACCCTCAAGCAGAAGCAGCAATGGATCTCTCTGGAGACACTCACCCCAGACACCCACTATGAGCTTCAGGTGCGGGTCAAGCCCCAGCTAGGTGACCACTCGGTGTGGAGCCCCTGGAGCCAGCCCCTGGCCTTTAGGACAAGGCCTGCAGGTACTGGCGGGCAGCAGGGGTGCAGAGGGGCTCAGGCAGGAGTGGGTGGCCGGGGGTGGCTCTGGGAGCGGCTGGTGGGGGAGGAGCTACCCTGCCCCTCCCTCCTGGGGGATGCGGTGTTCATCTCCATCCTCCCTGATTAGCTGGGGGACCCTGCAACGGGCCCCTTTACAGATGGGAACAGGGGCTGCGTGAGCGGGTGGGACACGCGCGTGGCCTTGTGAGTTAGGGGGTTGGGCGGAACAGCTCTTTGCGCTTTTTTCCACCCTGAAATCTCACACTCCTTGTTTCTGCCAGGGCTGGGGGTGGCTGCTTTTGCCTCTCAGCCTCATCAAGATGGGTACCGTGACCCCAGGGCAGGGCTGCTGTGATGAAGGCGCACAATGCCCCTGTCACCTGGGACACAGCACATGTGCTGGGCGGCCCGTCCGTCAGCACGTCTCACTTTGAGTTCTGGCTCAAGCGAGCCCTGGGATCTCCATGTGGTGCACAGAGGAGGGTGGAGGGAGGAGCGTGGCCGGGTGGAGCCGGGCCGTGGGCCTGCCAGGGGGGCCCAGATTATTAAAAGGATTTGTTTTGTAAAATTTGGATTCGGTCAAAAGGCAGCACTCAAGGATCCAGAAGGCCCCACGTGGCCCCAAGGCTGCATCCCCACCCCGGGATGTCATTTCAATTTAGCATCAAATCAGGCTTCCCAGAGAACTTGAGCAGAACCCCAGCAGAACCCCGCCCCCAAGCCCCTGGGCACAGGCCTGCTGGCAGAGCCCAGAACGGGCAGGGCGGGGCGCCGAGCTGGGGGCAGGGCGCTGAGTGACCGGGGTGAGTGAGGGCCCTTCTCCAACCCTCTCCTTGCTGTTCCTCCCAACCCCGGGCAGCCCCCAGGAAGGAGACTCCGCCCCTCCCTGGGTTGGACTACATCCTCATGGGCCTCAGTGCCGGTGCCGTGGGCTTCATCATCTTAGTCTACCTGCTGGTCAACAGCCGGGACATCGGGCCGTGGTAAGAGAGCTCTGCCCTTCCTCTCCGCTCCCGTCTAACACTCGCGCACACGCTCGCACGCTGCCTTGCCAGGCGAGGCTCTGCACCGAGCCCCCGCTCGGACGCGCCTGTGCTTCCCCTGCCCTTCCAGGAGTCCTTCCTGCCCGACACCCCCACAGGTGGAACCCCAGGGAGCCAGCCCAAGGGGAGTGGGGGAGTGGGGGAGCCCCCTGGGCCCTGGCCAGAGCATCACTCTCAGGACTTGAGGATGTGCGTGTGCACACGTCAGCTGTCTGCGTGTATGGGTCCTCGTGCGTCCATCCAGGTCTGGGCGTCCGTTCATTCATTCATTCCTTTATTTACTGAGCGCCAGCTCTGTGCCAGGCACAGCAAGAGGTGCTGGGAACACAATGGCAAGCCACACCCATGTGTCCCAGCCCCGTGGAGCGCATGGCCCAGTGGGGGAGGGCAGATACATATTAGTCACACTTGTATGTAACGGCACACCAGGAGCAGGCTGGCGAAGGACGGTACCAGTGTACAGTTGTCCCTCAGTGTCCACGGGGGCCTGGCTCCAGGTCTGCCTGAGGACACCAACGGCCAGTGGATGCTCGAGTCCCTGATATAAAATGACATAGTATTTGCACGTAACCAATGCACATCCTCCTGGATACTTTAAATCGTCTCTAGCTTACTTACAACACTTAATGCAATGTAAATACTATGCAAATAGTTGTCATACTGTATTTCAAAAATTTGTATTATTTTTTATTGTAGTGTTGCTATTTTGGGTTTTTTCCCCAAATATTTTCAATCTGAGGTTGGTTGAATCGTGGACGCAGAACCCACAGATGCAGACGGCTGACTGTGTTAGGAGCAGACCGCAGGGAGAGGAACCTTGGCTGGGGGTGGCCAGGGGTCGTTTCCCCGGGGAAGTGATGATCCTCTTGAAATCCGAAGGAGAAGCTCAGCAGGTGGGGTGGAGGGGAAGGGAAACATCCCAGGCAGGAAAGAGCATGTGCAAAGGTCCTGGCAGGAAGGAGAGAGGAACATTCCAGGAGCAGGGTGCAGGGAGGCTGGTGTGGCCGGAGACCGGAAACAGGTGGGGGACAGGGCTGAACTTGGGCCTGGACCTGTGGGCAGCAGTCAGGCTTTCTGGGGCCTCGGGGCTGCGGCAAGACGCGGGGCTGAGCACCAGGTGGCCGTGGGAGGTTGTCCGCAGGAGCGGGGTGGCCTCAGCTTTGCTGGCTGTGGCTCTGGCTCTTGTGTGGACAGTGGCCTGGTGCAGGGCAGAGTGGTGAGGAAGTGACGCTTCTACCCAAGGAGCCCCCCGCTCCTCTCAAGAGGAGAGACGCACTTTGCAGTTTGCAAGTGTGCCCACGTGCGCCATCGCCCCTGACTCCACGGCACTGGGAAGGCGGGAGGCAGGGGCTGCCATTCCCTTTTTTTTTGAGACAGAGTCTCACTGTGTTGCCCGGGCTAGAGTGCCGTGGCGTCATCTTAGCTCACAGCAACCTCAAACTCCTGGGCTCAAGCGATCCTCCTGCCTCAGCCTCCCGAGTAGCCGGGACTACAGGCATGCGCCACCATGCCCGGCTAATTTTTTCTATGTATTTTTAGTTGTCCAATTAATTTCTTTCTATTTTTAGTAGAGACGGGGTCTCGCTCTTGCTCAGGCTGGTTTAGAACTCCTGAGCTCAAACAATCCGCCCACCTCGGCCTCCCAGAGTGCTAGGATTACAGGCGTGAGCCACCGCGCTCAGCCTGCCATTCCCTTTTAACTGATGCCAGTGTGGGCCAGAGAAGCCAGTTGACCTGCCCAAGGTCACACAGCCGTGACTAGTGAGGCTGGGGCAGGAGTGCCACTCTCCTGACCCTGTCCTGGCGTGGTGGTTCTGAGCAGTACCCAGAGCCGTTTCCCCTTTTCTCCCAAGAAGACAGACACGCCTCTCCCCACCCACATCCTCCCCCGGCTCCACACGGGCCTTCAGGGGAAAGCTGCTCCCTGCTGAACACCTTGCTCCCAGACAAGGGGAGGGATTCCCTCAGTCGCGTGACCATAGCAGCCTCCTCACCGCCCTCCTCACTGTCATCCTTGCTCCCCTTTGGTCCATGCTTAACCATGTCACTCCCCTGTTTAACACTCTTCAGAGGCTGCCCATCGCACCTGGAACACACCCTGATCCTTGAGGGCCTCAGTGTGTGGAACCTTGGTACAAACCGGAAAATGGTGTCCCTGTCTCCAGGCAGAGGCATACAGGTCCTGGGCGCTCAACTTGGCAAGCGGAACATGGGCTGCAATTCAGCCCCACTCACCATCCCCATCCCCCAAAGCCGAATGACCTTGGGCAGTGCACAACCTGAACCACCATCCACGGCAGTCGTAACTAGGCCTCTCTCCTACCTCCCTCCTTCTGGTTCACTCTCCTCCAGCCATCTCCACCCCTGACTGCTCTGGCTTGTGTAGCTGCCTCCCCTCTGACCCTGCCACACGCACGGACCCCACCTCCCCGTATTGTACAGCGCTCTGCTGTTCGTCTCCACAGAATGCGTGGCAATGTTGCACACTTGCTTCGGGTCGTCCCATCAGAATGGCAGCTCCTTGAGAGAAGGGACCTTCTCTGTTGGCCGTTCTGTGTCCAGTGCCCAGCACAGCGCCCTCCCATAGTGGGCACTCTATCAATAAGGGCTGAATAAATGAACGAGCGTGGCATGGCTCCGTGCCCTGCCCTCACACCTGCGGGGCTGACGACAGGACCCCGTGGCCCTTCCTGCTCTCATGCCCTCCCTCCCTCCTCTGTTCTGTGCAGGCTGAAGAAGGTTCTGAAGTGTCACATCCCAGACCCCTCGCAGTTCTTCTCCCAGCTGAGCTCAGAGCACGGAGGAGATTTCCAGGTAGGAGGCTGGAGTCCGGGTCAGAGGTGGGCAGTGTTGCGAGTCGGGTGGGAGGCGGTGTGGGAGTAGACAGTTTTGCATTTCATGAGAAGAGACAAAATGCTGAAACAAGCAGCCTTCTGGAAAGCGTGGCACCTTCCTTCTGAGCCAGACTCCCTGGGTTCTAATCCCAGCTCCACCACTTCCTGGCTGCGTGACCTCAGGCAAGTTATAGAACCTCTCTGTGCCTCAGTTTCCTCACCTGTAAAATGGGGAGAAAAACAGTGTTACTATGTGTGTTGCCCTGAGAAGTCTGCCTGACACACAGTAAGAGCACAGGGGACCCTCGCTGGAACTACCGTCACCAGTCTGCTGACCCCACGGGGCTTGCCAGTGCAAACCCCCTCCAGCCCACCGCCTGCGCGCACGGGCTCTGTGGGGTCAGTACTTCCCCTGCCCCTGCCCAGAATTCCCGGGCACAGATACTAACAAGTCCTCTAGCCACTTCGAGTCAAAACACAGATTCATCTTAAAGGCGTAGGCCTATGTGGCAGTAACGCCCCGAACTCCATTTCGAGTTGTCGTCCCCCCCCACCCCCAGCCTACACCTGCTCCAGGCGGGATGCCTTAAGAGGAGAGGGCAGTGGGGGGCTGCTTCTAGCACTCTAGCCCCAGTCTAGGCTCCCCAGATTGGGAGGGGGCTGAGGCGGGGGCAGGGGGCAGGAGGAGTGGTCAGGGGCTGGAAGGTCATGCCGGGCCAGGGCCATCAGGTGCCAGCTTTGCAGTTCTCCATCAGAGCTGAGCAAGGGCCCCTTCTGGAATTCTCTGGAAAACTCCCGAGACTAAGGATCTCTTACCTACAGTACTCTTGATGTGGGGGAATGTATCTCCTTAAAATGTTTCCCTCAGCCGTGAAGGTAGTGAGGTCCCCATCGATACAGGTATCCAAGCATCCTTGGCTGGCCGTGTGTCAGAAACCTGGCAGAAAGGATTCAGTCATTGGAACCAGCTGGAAGCTGGCGCGGGTGCATCCTCAGATCTCTTCCAGGTTCAGGGCCTGATTCTGTGGGCCTAGGTGGGGCTAGGGTCTTTTCTGCAGAGCAGCAAACCATTCTGTCTCCCCACGAGGTCGTCCTGGGTCTAGACGCTTGTCCCGGCCTGATGTCAGGAGGGTGTCCCGAGGAGGAGTACAATGCGGCTGAGGTTGGGGCTGGTCTGGAGGGAGCCCTCCTATCGCACCTGGGACCCCAGCTCCAGGCCACAGGGCCTGCCAGCCTGTGCAGGGCATACAGGCGTGTGCGTGCCAGTGTGGGAGTGTGGTGAAGGGGCACGAGCTTCTCCCGGGCCCTATTCAGAGCCCTGTGGGCAGAGGCTCAGGCCCAGGAAGTGGCTGACCACACACAGCCCCTATGGGGCCTGCTGGACCCCTGGGCACCGGCGCTGGCCACAGGCCTGGCCTCTCCCTCTTCTGGCCACACACTCCGGCTGCCGCCTGGCGGCGCCCTCTGCTCCCTGCTCCAGTATGGCCAACCTCGCTGACCCACGCTTCCCCTCCCTTCCTAGCTGGCTGGCGGTCCCTCTGCCATCGTCAGTGTGCCCTTTCTGTCTCTCCCGTGTCCTGCTTTGGGGCAGGGGCAGATTTCATGGAGCAGCGTGTGCATGCGTGTGCCGGTGTATGTGGGACAGCCGGCTCAGCCCCAGGGACTCCCGCCGGGGAGGGGAGCCAGGGCGATTCTCTGCCGGTCCATTGCTCCGTCTGAACACGGACTGCACATGGAGCGCAGGGCAGCCCGCGAGCCCGGTCCTCATGCAGAGGGCTCCCAGGACAGAGGGCAGTCGGGGCTCTCAAACTCACCATCCCCCCCCAACTCTGCCAGGTAGCCTGCATTTTACCCCGCGCCAGGTGTTTCCACGTCCATTTTCTTATTTGACATCTCCCTGGCGACCCGATAGATAACAGGGAGGAAGTCAGAAAAGAGGTGGCTAAGTGTTGTGGAAACTGAGGCTCAGAGACGTGCAGTGGGCTGCCCAAGGTCACACAGCTAGTGGGTGCCAGGGCCGGGGCTCACCCTACTCCTTACCAGGGCTCTCTGGGCTCCCGAGCAGCTGAGAAGGGCTCTGACGGGCGCTTTCCTCTCTGTAGAGGGAGGGCGTGGGGGGCTGTGGGGGTGCAGGGCACGGGAGGGACAGGTGAATTGGGGGGCCATAAGCTCCCCAGCTGGCTCTGCCACTAGCTGGGCTGCGATCGGGTCTGAGACACGTCCCTTCACTGGGCACCCGGGAAGTGAACAAGACGTGCTCAGGCCCCTCCTGCCTGGGCACTGGTTGGTGGATTCACACGTTCGTGCTAGTCCCCACCGGACACTGAGGATTCTCTCCTTTGCTGTGTCCCCAGCACCTAGAACAGTGCCAGGCTCACAGCAGGTGCTTGACGCACAGTCACTCTTGCCCCATTCCCAGGCACTGCTGTGCACCAGGCACGCTCCCTGGGCTGGCAGCGGGTGCGTGGGGGGAGTGTGGGGTACAGTCAGGGAGGGCTTCCTGTAGAGGGCAGCCCTGGGCCGATTGCTGGAGGGGGAAGAGGAGTTAAGAGTTTTTGTTGAGTATGGAGGAGGCCCCCCTCACCTCCTGGCCTTTCTCACGGCAGAAGTGGCTCTCGTCGCCCTTCCCCTCGTCCTCCTTCAGCCATGGCGGCCCCGCGCCCGAGATCTCCCCGCTGGAGGTGCTGGAGAGGGATGCCAAGGCCGCGCAGCTGCTGCTGCTGCAGCAGGACAAGGTGGCCTCGCCCTCGCCCTCCACCAGCGGCCACTCACTGACCAGCTGCTTCACCAACCAAGGCTACTTCTTCTTCCACCTCCCAGACGCCTTGGAGATCGAGGCCTGCCAGGTGTACTTCACGTACGACCCCTGCACAGAGGAGGAGGCTGAGGAGGGCGCAGGCGGGCCTGGGGTACCCGTGCAGCCTCCCCTCCCTCCCCTGCAGCCTCTGTCGGGGGAGGACGATGCCTACTGCACCTTCCCCCCCGGGGAAGACCTGCTGCTCTTCTCCCCGAATCTCCTTGGTGGCTCCAGCCCCCCAAATACTGCCCGTGGGGGCAGTGGGGCTGGTGAAGAGAGGCTGCCCCCCTCCCTGCAGGAGGGAGTCCCCAGACACTGGGCCTCTCAGCCCCCGAGGCCTCCCACCCCAAGATCTTCCGACCTGGTGGATTTCCAGTCCCCCCCAGAGCTGGCGCTGGGAGAGGCTGGGGAGGAGGTCCCTGTCCCCAGCTCTGGGGAGGGGGCCGGTTTCCCCTGGGCCTGCCCTCCCAGACAGGGCCAGGACAGAGCCCCTACCTCTCACCTGACTCCGATCACTGATGTTTACCTGTCCCTCCAAGAACTCCAGGATCAGGACCCGGCTCACTCAGTGTAGACAGATGGCCAGGGGTGGGAGGCAGGCGGCTGCCCGCTGTTGCACCAGGCCCGAGGAGGGCCCAGTTGAGGACTCTATGTCCTCGAGGCTCATCCACTGCTGAGGAAACTAGGCGTCTGGTTGCCTCCCGGACATCTCCACCCAGATGGCCCCCAGCCCCGCAAACTCGGCCCATCCACTTCCAAACCTCAGTTGCTGCTCCCTGGTCCTGCTGCCCAAGCCAGGAACTGCAGGGTGGTGGGGGCAGTTGACTCCCCACCTCCCTCTTTAATCACGGAGTCCCATGAGCTTTGTCTCTGGAGCATCACTCTGTGCAGCCCGCAGCTACCTGCTGACATCAGTCCTCGTGGCTCTCCAGGGGCCTTCGCCTCGACCTCTTCCCTGGGATTCCTGCCCTGGCCTCACCCCCTCCCAACCACCCTGTACAGGGCAGCCAGAGAGTGCTTTCCACGACACAAACATGGCCATGCTCTCCCCTGGCGCAAAACCCTGCTGTGGCTCCCCTCTGCCCTCAGCACCACTTCTTGGCCTGGCACTTGCCCCTCCAGCATCGTGTTGGGACATCCCCTCCTGGAACCCTCACAACAGTCCTCCTGAGCCACCTGGAGCTCCCTCATGCTCCCACACCTTTGCACGTGTTATTCCCTATGCCTGGTGTGCCCTCTCCCTCATCTGGGTGACAAGTTCCCCTTATCCTTCAAGCGTTGGTTCCACTTCCCCTGGAGGGAAGTGCTGCCTCCCTTAATGTGTCAAAACTTCCAGCGTCAGTGCTGGAAGGAGAAGCTCTCAGGGTCCCAGGGTGGCTGGAGAAAGAGGCTCTGTCATTTCTCCCTTGGGATCTCTTGGACCTAAGAATGCTTGGCTGCTGCGTCCTTAATGTTGTGGCCCAAGTATGGACACAAATCCCCTCGTCAAGCGGATACCTGCTGGGTCTTTCCACAGTGCCTTCACAGACTCAAGAGGGAAGCGGCTGGAAAGCAAACCCTGGGGTCTGAGCAGCCCAGGCAGCAGCCCCTCCTAGTGGCAGGTCCTGATGCCACCAAGGCGAGCCCACGCCGGGCCCCTCCCGCTCCATCCTCCCCCAGAGGGGTCTCCTGTGCAGCCCAGGGGCTGGCACACTGGCCTCCAGAAGGGCAGCTCCACAGGGCAGGGCCCCATCACGTTCCTTGGATGACTTAATGGACTCTCTGGCCCCACCTTGCCCGGGCTCCCTGCACCGGGCTGCCTTCACACAGAGGGGCAGAGGCCCTGCATGCGGGATCCCGCCACCACCCCTCCACTTCTCTTTCCTCTGCCCCGAACACTGATCACACCGTGATGGCTGTCACAGCCTTCTGCCCCAGCAAGGCATGGACTCAGTCCCAGCTAACTCTGACTCAGGAGTGCTCAGTGCCTGCACTTATAGGCCATGCGCCCAGCTAATTGGGCACCTGACCACAAGCCCACCCCCTAGGCTGACCAGCAGCCTATGAGGTGGCTTGGCATGAAGCTCTGTCCAATCAGGGAGGCCAGACTTGAGCTAGCCAATCAGATCACCTCTCAGTCTTGGGCATCTGGACTCAGGGCGGCCCCTGAGAACAGGTGCTTGTGGCCAAGGTCCCCAGGAAAAGGTAGGCAGGAGCTGAGCCACGTGAGCAAGGGACCCTGGGCTCCCGACAGAGAAAAGCTCCTGCGGCTAAGACGCTACTGATCATTTGGTCAGGATTCCTGTTGCCCTGATGCCCAAAATAAACTCCCCTTTCTTGAGGTTGTCTGAGTCTTGGGTCCTTACCTTGGAAAGCGCTTACTTACCTGGCAGCCACCTGCCGTAGGGCGCTGCATCTTCCAGGCCACAGGGCTCCGCAGTCCCGGCCTGCATGTCAGACCTGCGCCGCGTGTCCTCGCCTTTGCTGTGCGTTCTGGGGCAGCCACCAAACCCCTCTGCAGGTCAGTGTCCTCATCTCGAAATACCACTTGCCTGCTTCGCTCTGAAGAGGGCTCAGAGGGCTACGTTTCTCAAGTCTTGGTCATTTGTGAGATATATGTACACACACACATATATATATCTTAATGATCTGGTTGTATCTTTGTTGTTATTTTCCTAATATTTTTCTTTAAATCAATTTGCTTTTTTGTTTAAATGCATTTATTTAAGGAAAAATCTTTATATTGCTTCTGTAAATGAAAAAACAGATTTTCACTGTAACTAAAAGGTACCTGTACAAAATAAGTACAATAAAACAAAATAATGTTGAAATTCATTGTCTGCTGGAAATCTGTTGAGTTAAAGGGGAAATTAGCAAGTGTTGGGAAGCACTGAAAACATAGCGGCACCAAATGGAAACTTCTTCCCTGAGAGGAAGCAAAAGGATTGTAAAGGGAACCGCTTTTTGCCAAGTAGGAGAAAGGTTTGTCTTATTCTGTCTCCAGGCATCACCTGACATCATCTCGTGGCCGTGCCTCACCGGTCTATGCTTAGGAAGAACACTGCACTTGATGATGGATGTCGCTATCCACCTACCTACCTACCTACCTACCTACCTAGCTCTCTCTATATATTTTTCAGTGCCCCGAAAAAAAAAGCAGGACCAGATCACGGGTGGCGACTCCTGGCATTCATAAAGCCACATTCACGGCAAACACTGCGGGTCGACTGCACGCATGCAGAGCAGACGTTTCTAATCGACCACAGCCCCCCCTCCTGCAGAGCCGGGGCGCAGCTTTGCATTCTGAAATGCTGTGCCGTAGGCAGCCCACACTTGATCGGAGCTGACACCCGGTGACATCTCTGGACCCCATAATCCCTCAGGTTCCTTCCACAAATGGAGCTCTCATGTTACCCAACTCTGGTTTTCCAGACAGGGAAAACGGGGACTGAGATGACGGAGTCCGGAAAGCTGAGAGGGCCCGCGAGCAGGCAGGCCCAGGGAGCCCAGCTGTCCCCACCGTGTCCGATGAGACCTGAGCTGGCAGGGGGCCGAGTCGGGGCCACGTTACACCAGGCAGAGATGGAGTGATGGGCCAGCAGCCACCGTGTGTCGTGTCTGGTGGGGATCCCAGTGTGGACCTCAGGAGAGGGGACAAGGAGGGAGCAGCTGGCAGGGTGGGGAGGGGTGGAGGAGACACAGGCCCACCTGGGTCACATTGCAGGGGGGAGGGGAGGCACCAGCTGGGGACCAGGCAGTGGCCAGGCCCCGGAGAACCATCAGGTGCGGAGCGAGTGGGAAGCAAGAGGTGGCCAAGGCAGATGGGGGATGAGAGACAAGGGAGGAGAGGTGGGAGGGCCTTCCCAATCCCCCCACCTCCCAGCTCCCTCTCTAAGCAACTTCCGTGCCCACAGTTCCCGAGCACATCATGGCAGAAACCATGGGTCCAGATCTAGAATGAGTTACCCACCGCCATCCTCCTCCTCACTGGTATCCTGGTTAATGGGGTCGGGGGAGATCAAGAAGCACATTAAAGGAGTAAGAGAACTAATACCCACGTTCCAGACACTGTGCCAGGCACTTCCCGAGCATCATCTCTCGTCACCTGGAAATGACTCCAAGAGACAGGTGTTTTGTTCCCCATTTCACCAATGAGGAAACTGAGGCTCAGGGAGGTTAGGAAATACAGCCGATGGCTGGTAGAGCCAGGAGTCAATCAAACACAGGTACATTTGGCTCCAGAACTTCTGGCCCTTTGCATATACAAGGCTGCATAGAAGACAATTATACTTATGGAGAAAAACTAGCAAAATTCCATTCCAAGCTCCCCAGCAGACAATTTAGAAAAGAGAAGAAGAAACAGGAATGCGCGATCCCTGACTGTGGTTGTGGGGGAAAGAGAAAAGCTCCTCGACCCGCTGGGCGGGTGGATGGGCTGAGTGGCCGGGAGGGGTGGCGAGGGCCCTGCGGGCTGGTCGGGCTGAGATGGTCTCGCCTTGCCCCCTCCCTCCTCCTGCCTGACTGAGCCCTCCTGCTGATCCGGTGTCGTCCCACTGGGCCGGCATTTCACTGGCTGCCCCCGTCCCCAACCTTGTGGCCCCTGTGCCACTGACCCAGCACCATCACCTCTCCTTGGATCCCTGCTTGGCCTCCTCCTGGGTCCACCTGTCCCTACCACCTGCCCCTCTGACCCTTCCAACCCTGGGTCACATGTGACCACACCATGCCCCTGCTTCAACCTCCAGTGGTCCCTGTTGTTTTCAGGAGAATGAAGTCCTTAATGGGACGGTCCATGCATTGGGGAACCTTGGGGAGGTCCCATCTGCTTTCGGGCCTCATTGCCCCATCTGTGAATTGGGCAGTCAGACAGAACGATCTCTAAATGCTCTCCTAGCCCTGATAGTCTGTGTTTCCAGGGACTACACGGAATGTGGCTTCAGGCCGGAACTATTTCACCTCAAAAGTTGGAGGCTGGGGGTGGGGGTGGAGATGACTTCAGGGACCACAACTGACTCATTCACTTTGGCACCTGCTAACCCCTTGGTTTGAAGCGGTCCTGCTGCCCAAACGATCTCCCCCAGACTCCTACACATCCCTCAGAACCCCACTCAAGCATCTCCAATTCTGGGAGGCCCTCTGATTTGCCCCAAGTAGGGTCGATTACTTCCAACTACTGTCTCCCTCCTGAGCTACCTTATAACCATCTGTGGGCCAGAACCTGGGCTGGATTCTGGGGACACGGGAAAGATAATAGCTGTGGAAGAAAATTGGTCAGAGCCCCTTGAGCACAAACCTTTGTTCAGAAATACCAGGCCCAAGAAGACTCTGAAGGAGCCTTCAATTTGGAGAAGGAGGGTGGAATATCGCACCGGGATTTAGCAAGGGGGCTCAGCCAGAGTTCAGCTAGTTTTGGATATAGCCAGTTGAGGAGGGTTTTTGGAAGAGTGAGGAATTGTTCTCGAAAATTAGCAGCCACTGTTTGGCGATTTGGATTTTATCAGCGGGCAGGTGGGAGGGACGGCTGTGAGGACAAGGACCTGTGAGCCCACCGTGGAACGTTCTCAGTCCTTCGGGGTCTCTTCGAGAGCTGCATTTATTGAGCACTTAGGTGCATCAGACTGTTTTCTAAGAACACTGTGTTATTAGCTCACTTGGTCCTTATAAAACTGCCACGGGGGAGGTACTGTTCTTAGCCCATTTACACATGAGACTAAGGCTCAGAGTGGTTAAGTGACTTGCCCATAATCACACAGCTACAACATGGTGGAGTAAGGAATTAAACCCAGGCAATATTTAGCACTCACATGGGCACAGCTCTTTACAGCTTTTAAAGTGTGTGCACAACTAGCATTTCATACACTGTCACGGCAACCTAGCGAGACAGGAATGACAGCAATTCTGAGTCCTGTTTTGCAGTTGAGGTTAGGAGGCCCTGAGAGGTTGGCGTCACGTCCCAGGCCACACAATGAGTTTGGTAGAGGGGGAGGGGGGTGTTGATTAAATTTGGGCTCACTACCAGCACTGAGGCCTGGCCCCTGTGACAGCCTGGGGACATCCCCTTCGCTGACTTGCTCAGATATTTTCCACCACCAGGGCTATGACACACCGATGCTCCCATCATCACAGAGCCTGGCGGGGCGGGCTGTGCGAAAGCAAGGCAGGAAGCGCTGAGCTGTGAGAGGCGCAGGTGGGGGGTCCCCGGCCTCTGATTCCAGGAAGCCAGGACGCAGAGGGGAGGGAGGGGCTGGCAGAAGGCGCATCCCATCATCCTCCATTCCCCCGCCCCACAGAGAGGAGGCAGGCCACTGCCCTGTCTACAGAGTCCCCAGGCTTGTGGGGGAGGGCGTGACCGTGGAGGACGCAGACAGGTAAACCTGCAGTCACAACCCTCCCGTGGCCTGGAAGAAAATCAGCCTGGTCCGGTTAGCACAAGTCTTTGCTGGGAAATGTTGCCTGAGAACACCCCAAAGGAGGCTTCTCACCTGGGGGAGCGGAGGGGAGTGTCGGACAGGGCTTTAGCGAGGGGGCCAGCCAGAGTTCAGCTGGTTTGGGAAATGGTTGAGGATGGTTCTTGAAAGAGAGAAGAATTGTTCATTCATTTATTCATTCACTCAACAAACATTTAGGAGAGCCTATTACGTGCTCCGGCAGTGGACAAAATCTCCACCCTGCTCCTGCAGCCTTTGTGGCCCTCTGGGGCAGTGTGGGGCAGTGGTTGTAGCCCTCACTCCGGCGCTGGGCAGCCTGGGTTAAGTCCTGCTTCTGTTGCTTACCAACTGTGACCTGGGGCAAATACCTAAGCCTCTCTGTGCCTCAGTTTCCCCCTCTGTAAAAGATGGGAATGCCACGACTATCGGGAGGATGAAAGAAGTAAAGGCATGTAAAGTAATTAGGAGAGAGGAACTGGCTGGGGGGCAGGTAGACAGGGACAGGGCTGTGACCAGCAGCCCAGGGGCTGCAGGGGTGGAAGCCACTAACGTGCGCATGGCTGTCCTCTCAGATACGCTGCGGCCACCTTGGCGATGCTGTTTGGCGCAGGGCTGAGCTGGACACCACTGCAGGCTGGGGCTCTGCCACTGCCTTGCCTGTCCAGCCTCCTGTTCCTGGTGGCCCAGCTCCCCCAGGCACGTGGGTAGGTCTCGAGGGTAACAGTTTGAGGTGTGGCCCGAATCTCTAGTGACCCGATTCTAGGAGGTGTGAAAAATGCCGAAGGAAAGCTATGGAGTCTTCCTCCTCCCTCTCAAATCCAGTGTGTTAGCTGCTGCCAGCTTAGCCCAAGGCCAACGGCATCGCGTCCCTCCCAGTCCTGTCCCACTTGGCGCCTTTAAGCCTCAGTCTCCTCACCTGTAAAATGGGGTGAAGGGCGCAAAGAAGGGGGATCTGTCTTACTTCTAAGCTCCCTTTTGACTGAACTAGTCTGTTCTGTGGCCTCTGAAAGGATGGGGAGGGGACTCTGCTCACTCTTTAAAAAGACACAGCAAATTTGTCACGAGAGTCTTCCCCCAACTCCCATCTCAACTTTAAATTCCCTGGGCAAGGGAATTTTGCTTGGAAGAACCCAATGTGACACGTTTGGTAGGCGACCCATTATTCATTC